AAAGGATAACTTACCCCCTGCCTTAATTGATACTGAAAATCAGGAGTCTGGGAGCACCTTTTCAGACTAACACATTTTATTAAAAAGTGTACATTTTCATGAACTTACGCCTTTTAATACAATTACTTGGAGAAATGTGCAGTTGCCAAGCTAAATGTGTTAGCTTGAAAAGGTGCTACTGGACTTGTGATTTTTAGCCTACCAAAAACTAACATGCCTCTCCTCCTATAATGGTTGATATTGAATGGCTTCTGAAATATCCAAAAAGTGACACATTACCTTAAACCAAGGTTGAGAAACACTGCCCTAATCAATTTGAAATCCTGTTCAAGTATTTAGAATCTATCAGCTTAAGTACTCAATAATTCTTCTGAAATTTAGGAAGGCATAAAGATCCATTGTCATACTAGCTTATCAAATTGCTGTCATGCTGACTTTTCTATTAATGAGGTTATAATGGCAATTTGGAGGGTACAATGCCAGTTGTGTCCACTGAATTTCACACATAATTTCTTAAAAATAAAAAAACAACAAAAACAAAGCTAATATTTATTTTTCTTTCCCGTAGGAAGCAAATGTTTCTGTATATTTTACTATCTTAAATCTCTGTTAGGTTATTCTTGGTTGACACTGAATAAAAGAGTGATCCCAAAATATGCCCATCAAATTCATCATGCATTGCAACATGAAACCTGACTGGAATAATTGACTACATAAGAATGAGAAAATTTATCTAAGAAAAATATGCTGATTTGTAGATGCTCATCCATTTTGTCTGTTACCTTGGTTTGTAGTTTGGATATTAATGGAAAAAAGAATGTGAAAAAAAGGGTTTCTTCTAAAGACAGCATCATGTTATGTTTCTCCTTTTACAGAAATTTATGTTACACGGTCATGGGCTAAACTTAATGTAACGATACATTAAAAACTGCACATCAGGATTACAAAATGTGTCAGAGCAATGAGTTGTTATATCAGATCTCTCTTCATCTGTGAGGAGAGCCCTTTAGTAAATCATTCACAAAAGAATGCATTCACTCTTTAATGCATGTACATAAATTCCATTCTCCTTTGCTTCCCCTCACCCTGTTCTGAGAATCTCTTATCAACTGGAAATGAGTTAGGAAATAATGTTGATATTTTCACCCCACACATAGAAATAGCACCAGTCTTTCTGTGCAGGCACAAATGAATATAGATGCACTGCCTAACTCACTAAATGACAAATCGTCATATTTAAACAAGTTTAGATATAATCCCTAATACATGGAAGCTACTTCCCTGTGCCTGATTAGTTCTTGACTTATATTTTTCTACTCCTGCAATACATGTAAGAGTCAGTGGAAGGGGAATTGGTGTTGATATTGTAGAAAATGTTTGTTCCATTAGCTCCTACCAAATAACTGGCCATTTATTTACACGTTCACAGCAAAGTTGGTATTCATAAACAGCTTCTGTGTCTATTATAATGTCTAAAGCAGTGTCAAACTTGCGTCACGTTGTTGTCATGTTGTCGTCATGTGTTGTATCATGACTTTTTTCCCCTTCGCTAAAATGAGTGGGCGTGGCTAGTGCATGACGCATCCTGCCCGGGGGCCGCGAGTTTGACACCCCCAGTTTAAAGGATACCTGATCTCCCTAAAAAATTAATACATTGGTGCACCAGACCTGTGAAATATTATGGCTAAGCCATACAGTAGTGGTTTTGGAATTGGCTTGTTAAATTGTATGAATCTAGCCACTGTGCTTTGCAAACAAGATTTATACTTTATGAAGTTACATGAAATTATTCATTGTAAATTGTTGGACAGGTGGTTGGCAAAACAAATTTTTCAGCCATCTTAGAGAAATGAGGCTGTAATTAGGGCGGATATCATTATAAAGATTTCATGTAAATAAAGGAAAATTCTGTCCCTACAAGCCACCTTGCTGACATCTTCACAATAAATGTTTAATCTGTTTTAAGAGGAATGCTAACAATGCTAGTTTCTAAAGATTCCCATGAGGACACAGCACATCCAGAACCAGAGAAAATCCTTTCTACTTCTAAGATGGAAAGCAAGTTTGGAGGTGAACGGTTGGCTAAATCTTCAAGCAAAAGTAATTCATTTCCCACTCCCACTGAAGTCAGAGGGGGGAGAGGTTTTTCTGTATTTTCTCTGAGAGCTGCAACTAGCTTTGGAAAAGGAAAGAAAGGAATTTTTTGTGGGATAAAATCTTCCAGGAGGCAGGAAGGAACCAAAAGCACACCAATTTTAAAGTGTATCAAATAAGTAGATGAAACAGAGGAAGAATTCAGTTTTATTTTGTATACACTCAAATCAAGCCTTATTTGGTTTTCTTGAAGAGAGTTTTTCTCTTGTTTTGTACACTTATCTCTAAACTGTATGCCAGTTTTCTGTTGCTGTATATATGAAAGGGTTAAAAGTGTACCATAATAACAAAAGGGCTCTCCCTTTGGAACCATTGGTTCTAATTACCACAGTGTTATTTTCAGTGGTTCTGGAAAATCCTCTGCCCAAAGATTAAATAGAGAAACAGTTAGACAGAGCTAGATAATGTAAATCAAGGGTTTCCAAATGGTTTCAAACTGTGGAGCCTATTAAAGGTAAAAGTTTCCCAGTCCAATCATTTCCAACTCCAGGGGGGTGATGCTCATCTCTGTTATCTTAACCCAAAAATAAATTTTAAAAAATTCCAAATGCATTGGTCGAGAGGGGTGTGACTTCTGAGTATCGCTTGACAAGAGTCATGGTTATAGTATTGAGAAAGCAGCAAAGAATATGTGACCTTAATGCATGTTCATTTTTCATCTGATGCTAGTTTTGTATGTAGCAAAGGTGGTCTGGAGACTGTTGTTGCTGTTATTTACTTATTGTGGTTAAAGCAAGGCCTACCTGACTCTACAACAACTTATCACAAGTAATGCATTTGAGGTGCTTTAGAGGGCAGGAACTTTTACACTGCCTCATAACTTGTTCTTTTTAATACAAGAGGCCAGAGTTGTGTTCATAGACAAGCTATAAATTTCCAAGGTTATAGGTAGTGTAGGAAGTTAGCACCCACCCCTTTTCCTAGAAGAATGAAATATTTTGGGAAATATTGAAAAGGCAGAATATTATATTTCCCTGGATGAGAAATGGAGAAACATGTTTTAAAGACAAAGCAGCTTCCTGCCTCCCCCCCCCACACACACCCCTTTGTTAACGGGCCATTAAGGCCTCAGCCAAGCTCACTCAATGGGCCATATCTGCAACACAATAGGACCCATCTAGGACAGAAACTCACCACATGGCACCTGGGAAGATTACATCAGCCAGCAAGGCTAGGTAAAACCCCCACCCCCTGGGAGTCTGACAACCAATCAGAATACTCTTTTGGAGCCCCAGGAAGTTCAAAGCCAGAGAGAGCATAAAACCCGGGGACTCACTGTATCTCGACCCTTTTCTGTTCAGGAACTCAAGCCATGTGATCCTGTCCACCATTAAATCATCTTTCCAAGCAGTTTCCATGTTTCCAGTGTCTTTTTCTCCACTTGGAGCTGAACCCAGAAGGATATTTCTTCCTACAGTAATATTTTCAGTTAACTGGAATGCATACATAGGCAATGCTTCATTCTGCATAAAACCCAAGAAGGTACTGCCATCTTAGTCGAACCAGAATAAATTGTTCTCAGAACTATCCTCTCCAGCTCAACTAAAACTTGCTTCAGAAAAAAATGTTGTGATAACTTTTTAAATCTTTCTGGCTGCTGGAACAAACTATACTTTAATGCAGGAATTTTCAAACTACGTTCTGGAGAAACCTGATGGGATTCTATAAGAAACTAATGGCAAAAAAGGGGCAAGTTCTCCAACATAGCACTATGGGCTGCAATATGGTATCTACCAGGCTTTATTGCTTTTTAAAGGTATGCTATAATGCCAAGCATCATCCTCTAATACAATTATACTTCCAGAAATGCCTCTCAGATCCACACAGGAGCCATAAATAATGTTAATTTAAAATAAGGGTATTTGCAGACCATTGTTTTGAAGTGCCTCCATCTGCTTCCAAAAAAACCCTCAAAAGGTAGGAATTTGAGGGAACATGTTGGAAATCTATAGGTATAAGAGAGAGTAACACTCATTTAATTTTGTGTACTGTATGCCTAATTGATCTTGGTCAATTTGACAAACTAAAGATTGGCCCTTGCTAGCATTTGTATGGAAAGCCAGGAAAACCTAAGGCAGCTGCAGCAAGCCTTAGTACGGTTAACAAACCCATGTAATGGGAGCTAGACAAAAAGGAGGAAAAATAAAGAATACTGAAGTTTCGAAGGTTAAAAACTCTGAACTATAGTTTGGTAGGCTAAATTTTATTTGGAATCCCACTTCACAGAATCAAAAAAAGTACTGTACTTGCATCTGAGTAGATATTATGAAATTGTGCTGTTACCCTATACTTACCCTGTCTCCTACAAGGATCTGGTGGAATTCTGTTACCCATTCTCCGTTTACAATTATCAAGTTTTTCAAAAGTTAAAAAATGGAACAAAGGCAGTTTTTAAAAATAACACAATTCTAAATACATTGCTTGCAATTCTTGAGTTATTGGTATTGGCAAAATTAAATCATTATATTTCTGTATTTGCGTTTAGGAGCCTGCTTACAACTTTAGGTTGATGTGGAATGAATTCCACTACTGAAGCATGACTAACAAACCATGATTCAGCAAACAACGGTTTAGTATGGAGACTTGTGTTTTTCTCTAAGGCGATCTATTATTACCGTAGTGGGGTAAGATTTGGGACTTACAACATCAAACTGCTCTTCCGCAGTTTATTTTTTATTTGGGCAGAATGAGATTTGCAGTAGAACAGCTCCAGGGGAAAGAAGTTTATTTTCCAAAGATGATCCATCATTTCCTATCCCTGCTTCTAAGTTCTCTTTCTCTCCCCCCCCCCCGTCTTCAGTGGTACAGTCCACTGAGAGGCGGAGATAATAATCCTAATGAATACGTTTATTTCGCGCATGCGCTATACCCTTTGAACGCTGTCGTGCTGTTGGTCGTAGGGTTTCTCTTCCCTTGTTACCTGTTTTATTATCAGCATTTCGTTTCGTCGCCGTTGGACGTTTTCGCCTACTCCTCCCGTCTCGCCATGGCCGACCCTCGCGTCAGACAGATCAAAATAAAAACAGGCGTAGTAAAACGGTGAGTATCTGACGAGTAGGGCCTCGTACGGAGGAGCGTGGCATGGGGAGGTGATGTTGCTTTTTCCAGGCGGCGAGTGAAATTCTCAGGGCCGGGATTTAACTGCCTTATACCGACGCGTTGGCTGGAGGAAGAAGCATCAACTTGGTATATGCCCTTATGCGCGTGTATATTAGGTCAGGGCTTTTTTTTTTTACTCGAACACTTTCCGTGCGTACAACAGTCCTGCGAGGAGGGTTAAATGTAGAGACGTTGATTGGTCGGTGGCCGAGTGTGAAATTGAACCTGTCGCTCCCATTTCTAGGTTTGTTCGCTAAGCAAATTTGAATTTTTCCCCTTCCACCTTTTGCCCTAAAGACAGGGCCTGTTTTCATGGGTAATACTGGAATAACATTTTGTCTATATAAAGACAACACAATCAGTGGGTGAAAATGGTCGTTCAGTCTATCCAGACAGCTGTAGGTCATCAAAGGCTCCATTTACCTTCTCACTTGTCAGGAGAAACAAATATGCATTTAAGCTGTCCATAATCACCAAAACTGTGTCTACAAAACAGTGGACGAATAGAATAGTATAGTTGGAAAGGACCTTGGAGGTCTTCTAGTCCAACCCCCTCCTTAGGCAGGGAAACTCTATACCATTTCATATAACTGCATATTCCCTCCCTGCTACATAGAACCTGACTATTTACCCAAATAGGCAGGTTCTATGTAGCAGCGAGAAAATATGCAGTTATATGAAATGGTATAGAGTTTCCCTGCCTAAGGAGGGGGTTGGACTAGAAGACCTCCAAGGTCCCTTCCAACTCTGTTATTCTATTCTATTCTATTCTATTCTATTCTATTCTATTCTATTCTATTCTATTCTATTCTATTCTATTCTATTCTATTCTATTCTATTCTATTCTATTCTATTCGTCTACTGTTTTGTAGACACAGCTTTGGTGATTATGGACAGCTTAAATACATATTTGTTTCTCCTGACAAGTGAGAAGATAAATGGAGCCTTTGATGAGCTATCTGGATAGACTGAACTACCATTTTCACCCACTGATTGTGCTGTCTTTATATAGACAAAATGTTATTTCGGTGTATCTGAAGGGTCATAGAGAAGCTAACTGGTCCAGAATGCTTTTCCTACTTAATATTTCTACCTGTACAGGTAAATTTTCTACCTGTATTAACTGTATAGTCCAGATTCTTCGCCACAGTTACTAATGATGATTGAAGTACATCTGCAAAAGTTGCTTGATTCACAAATGTCAGTTGTAATCTATCCACACTTTTTCTTGTGATTTTTGTTTGCATAGTTACAACTAACTGGTATTCAATGGTCATTTAAATGTGTATAATACAATAGTCAAAACATATTTCCAAGTGTAAATGAACTGGCTTCAAATTATGTTCAAGACATATGTAATGCAATAATAGTTTTATTGCATAGAGTAGCACATCTATGTATGAAAACTTCTGTGTCGATATATTGTGCATATATCCATGTTTTGTAAATGTCATGCAATAGCAAAGACAATTTCTTTAGCTTGTAGAGTGGGAATTCATTTTAAGAAAGCAAGTGTTAGCTTTGCTGCAAACGTGACATACAAATATGATAAAGTAATCTTTATGTATTTATTTCATACCCATTTTTGTGAAGAGTAAGAAATGCTGATTGAGCATTTGCTAATCTATATCCAGGTCTCTTTTCTTCCAATTTAGACTGTTTGATTTCTGTTCAGAATCTTGTGTCTTAAGGCTAGTTGCAGGTCAGTTGTGTAATTGTGTGTTCTGGGTGGGGTGGGGAGGATAGAAATGGGGTTACAGTTAAGTAACACAGTATTGTCATGGATTCACCAGCTTTTATAATGGTAATCTTAATATTATAGCAGGTTATGAAAAGACTTAATGATCAGTTAATGAATCAAATTCAGAATTTGGTCTGCAGCAAAATGTTGCAGTTTTTGTAGGTTTAACATGTCATGGGGAAGAAAATATTTTTGTCCAGTTTCTGTAATGTACTTCCCTGAGAGACATATAGTATCAACTTTCTTATTTCAGCACCAACAAAAAAGTATTTAATCCCTAATAATACCTGAAAGTACAGGGTCTCCTCTTAACATTCCTTCATATAACTAGAAACTTTTCAAAATAAAAGTATAAGCATGAGGTGCAAAGGACTGAATACATTGCTGCTGAAAAGTTAGATGTCTTGGCAAGTCTGAAGACAAGCCTCTGCTTGGGTGAGGCTGCTTGTTAAGTGGATGGATGTATGTACAAACATACAAAACACAGGTTATCTTTCTTTTTGTCCCTTTTTTCTTTTTTCCTCCAGGAAATTTTGTTCCCTTATTTTCCCTTTCCAGGACAGCACTTATTTCTCTTATCACTGCTTCATCCTGGGGGTTCTTTCCTTATTGGCTCTTCCTGTTGGGGGGGAAGGGAAATGTGCATGTATAGTTGTGTATTTTTGTGTGTGTGAGAGAGAATGAGTGCCATATGCGGATGAGAATCAATTAGTTTTACAAATGACATATCTTATTTTACAGGCAATTAATTTTAATCAACACCTATTAACTCTTTTTCTTCTGACCCTCCCCTTTTTTGGAGCATGGTTTCTGACTGATGTATATATACAGGCAAAAATGACACATTTGGGGGAATAGTCTAGGACATCTTTCAGCTGGCATTGGCAATGCTAATTTGACAAGGTGAGCAGTGAATAGAACTTTTGAGTTTACAATATTTTTTCTTTCTGTTCCTGTGGAAGTTGGTAGCGTATTTTAAATTCAGAACATCTTCCTCTCAGATAAAAACACTACTTCATTTGCTAGGTGCTACCAAAATAGATAGTAAATAACTTGATCGGTTTTTGTTGTCAATGTACAACTCAGTGTTCTACAGGTAGTTCTCACCTACTGACCTCTTGCTCAGTGAATGTTCAAAATTATGATGGTGCTGAAAAAGGAGATCTATGATGGTCCTCAAAGTTGCAGTGGTCCCATGGCCATGATTCAAGCTCTTGGTAACTGGTGCACATTTATGACAGGTACACCATTCCATAGTCATATGATCCCCATTTGTGATTTTCACAGCTGGCTTTTGAAAGTCGATGGTGAAGCCTTCAGGAAGTCACAAGTTGCAGTCATGTAACATCAGATTCACTGACGGAGTGATTCACTTAAATGAAATTGATTTAAGTCTGCACAGTCATATGAAGTTTCCCCTTTCAACTTTGTTGCTTAGCAGTAAAGTTGTTGTGGTTGGTAAGTGAGAACTTCCTGTATTTTAAATTGTTTGCTTATTTATGATTTGTATGTTTCAGAGTCCATGCTTAGCTTGTATGTACATACCTGAGCTGCTTTCTAGACCTCAAGAGTTTTCATGGGTTTTCTGTGTGCGCACACAGAACGAAACGAAACATTTGCTTTGACTGCTGGATAAGTGATATGGTTCTTCATGCACTTAAATATAATGACAATCTGGAAAGGCCTTCACAACATAAAAAAATTATCTGTTTCAAGGATGTTTTGCACAGTCCTGGTATGCATACACACATAAAACACAAACTTTTTATTGTAAATTTCTCTGAATGTGTTTTCTTTAAATAAAAGTCACTAACATATTTCTTAATCTTCTCAGCTTACCACTATTCCAGTAAGAAACTCCTTGCCCAAAAAACAACCAACCTCATATCTGATAGCACCTTAAAGTTGCATTGCTTGAATTGTTTTATTTCTGTTTCTTCAGTCTGTGGATCTTAACAGAATATATATGTTCCTTTTTTGACTGTAGGTAATGGCTGTGTCCAGTTGTTGAGACTGATTTTTCAGTAAAGGAATTTTTATTTTCTCGGTTGTATTCCCTAGATCACAGGTGTCAAACTCCCTGTGTCATGTTGATGTCACTAGACTTATCACGACATCTTTTGCCTTCAAAAAATGGTGGGCGTGGCCTGCACATGACACATCCGGCCCGCAGGCTGCCAGTTTGACACTCCTGCCCTAGAAGTTAGAATTGGGGAATAAAATTTCTATTCCACCATAACTAGTTGATCTATACCATTGTGATAATTATGTAGGAAGCAGTTAAACAAATCTTTGCTGGGCCAGAAATCTAGGTAAAATGGTGTGACTTAAATGCCTGATGGACCTGGATGGTTCTTAAATGCACTTAAGCAATTTTCATAATTGTTTGTTGGTTATAATTGTCAATTCCCTGGCTGATACACATCAGAGATTTGGATGTTTTTGTTTACATGGCCACATCAGCTTGTTCGTTTATAAGAGTTCTGACAGTGAAGCAAATAGGATATTAGCAATAGAGGAACTTTCAAGATCATCAGATCTAGCATAGAATAAGGCCCATTTGACATCCCATTCTGCTGCAGAAGTGGCCAGTACAAAAGCATTTTTCTAGAAATCTAAAAATGATGCATGCAATGGTAGAAATGTGCTGTGTTTGCATAAGGCTTGAAGCATTTTTTCCAAATCACTTTCAAAATATGCATAGCTAATAAGACCTGTGCTGAAGAAATCCATCTTTGGAGCTGGAGAGTAGTGTATCTCTAAGCCAATTTTAAGAATTTGATTTCTGAAAAAAATAATAGCTTTGCAGGACCAGGCACATCTCAATGATGCTGATTGATCCGCTCATATTTCAGTGAACTTTCCCTAGCATGTAACTGCAACTGATTTGATTGGTTGGATAAGTGTTCTGTGGAATGTCACTGTGAGTGTTCTTTTGGACTTCTTGGTAGATTTCAGTATCTTTCAGTGCGATATCCTTCCAAATGACCACCGCTTCTTCCTAGTTTGTATACCACCAACTCCCAATGACTTTGTCAAGTTATACTTAGGAGATGATGAAGATCAATTATTTGACACATAGGCTGTTCATCTAGTGTCCCCAATATTCTTCAGCATCTATCTGAATATGCTGAGGGTAGTCATATTGATGACACGTTGCTTTCTTCTGCAAAATAAGGAGCAGTAGAGCAGTCAATCT